AATGTAGATAGCCAAAAATATGGAGACTGCTTCTGGGTGCCACCAAATTTCGATGCAATGTTAGCAGCACCAGTAGACTTAGAATTTTCAGTCAAGTGACACTCTATAGTATTCCCTTTCACTTCACCCCAGTCAGCTGCATAAAGGTTGGGTGGGGGAGATTAACAGAGGGAATGAGGAGCTGGGTCAGCTCCTTGATCTTCCTATGGCAACTACATAAAGGTTATGTAATGAGGTGAAGGGAGGGGTGGAGAAGCTTGCTGAGCTCTGAGAGTAATTGGACACTTCCAAAAAAGGAGAGCACTGTGACATGCAAGAAAGGAGGGAGCTGCACTAGAGAATTGACTCTTCCTAGAGTAGTCACATTTCTTTAGCAAGTTCAAAGTCATTTATGGAAAGAAAAAACACTGCAAGCAAGCATTTAAAAGTTGGTGAAAGGGTGTTTATAAATATGGTATATTATACCCCTTCAGGCCAGTATCACATGTTGCAGCTCTTAGCGGGGAGATACAGAAATTCTTTAATCAACACATACATAAATGTGCAATAACTCAAAGCAACCAATCAGAAATCATCTTCCAATGTTATGACAAAGTGCAAACAGTTGAGATATGACCTGCTACTGGAGAAATCTGGACATCATAGCCGCATGCCTTGTTATCAAATCAAAGGCAAATATTATAAACTCTTTGCCTTTGAATATAATTTTTGCACCAATTAACATCAGCATATGATAATTAAAGTCATTTTGTTAAATTCCTATATACAGTGCTTTTTTTTTTTTCAATATTACATCTGTCCCTTACTGCACTTGCATGTTGTGCTGTGTATTTATTGATTTTTAGTGAATAACCTCCCATATTGTGAATTTGCATGAAGTCAATTATATTATTCAAAGACAATTGTTTTTTCATTGGCTGCATTTAACACTATTGCATTTTTGTGGAATGCAGGCAGGAAACCAAGTAGTTAAGGTGGGGTTATAGCCACTTTCCATCCTGGTTCTATGTAATCCTTCATAACATGGTCCAATGCTATGCACGGGTCAGAAAGTATGGGAATCCTTAATGTCTTTGTTTAATATTGTTTTTTGCCAAGAATATTAATCATTTAGCTTTGGTTGTGTGCCGAGGCCAGTCAGGGTCCCCATTAATGGTACTTTGCTGGTGCTAGCTTGTGCCTTTGATCTGTGAAACATGACAGTACTGCATTATAGCTGCTGCTTTATACTTCAGGCTACAGCAGAGACCTTAATTGCGTTCACTAATACATCAACCTGTTTATTCAAAGGGGCAACTGATCTGTGAGCACAAGTTAACATATACATTTGCAGTTTACCAGGCTATCCAAAAATGCTATGCTCTTAGACTAGACAAAGCAAACTACTACAATTGTGAATACAAGAGAATAAAAAAATTTAAGTGAAAAACAAGATCATCTTTCTTAAAGCAACAAGGGTTAAATAGAAAATTCCAACCTAGACAAGAAATGACCGAAGCTGTAAAAGGATCGACCTTGAACTACATTTAGTGGTTTTAGAAAGAGTGGTAATTGATAAAAGTTATATTGAAGGGATCAAATTAAGTGGATTAATGCTTGTTTCAGCCTGAGGATTGCAATCAAGAACCACATTACAGTACTCCCAAGGCTTTGCTATAAGATTTGGACTACATCCTGGCTGACTTTTAAATATCTGTTTTCATACCAGACTCTGGACAAGATTATGCAGTTGTGGCTACTGGATGCTACACAAGATCATTCAGTGGAGACTATCAGACTCTACACAAGGTCTTTCTCCTGAGGGTACAAGTATGCATCGGACAAGGGCTTCCCAAAATTTAAGCAGTATTCAGGAGAGTGCAAGAAACAAGATGTATTATTGCAGACATAATATGGATCCTTGAATGGACAAAAGAATACTGTTGAATATGTAAGAAGGCAGTGCTGAAGAAGCCTCTAGCTTTTCTTGGAAGTGAAGACTTTCATATTCATATTGAAACACAATCAAAATGTTAAACTGGGGAACTAAGAAGGTCAAAGCAAAAGAGAAGTAATATAATAGATCACTTCAATAACAGCTATTTATGTCTTACAGTCAATATCTAAATAGCAAATAAATGGCAGTTCACAACAAATGCCATCAAATACTGTTATATTAAATCTAGCATTAATATGCCGGTATGGCTTATGTAAACATGCAAAGAGCAAAGTGCAAACTGTGTAATCCCTTGCCAACCCATCGCTAATTATGTTTATCAGTATGACTGCAGTAAATACAAATCTGATTGGCAGTACAATTTTAGTACGTTGTACATAATTATTACTCTTTGCATTGCTTTATTAAAAATGCTTGAATGTGTATTATTTTCTGACTTCGTGTTCATAACATTGCTTGATATGAATTCCAGGGAGAGCTGGAAAAACAACTCCTTCAGGCTAATCCCATCCTTGAAGCCTTTGGAAATGCCAAAACTGTGAAAAATGACAACTCCTCTCGATTTGTAAGTAGCATGCATTACCAATTAAGAATTTGAAATATTGAGGTCAGATTCAAACTAAAGCATTACAGTAACATGTGCATTACTGCAATACTTGGCAGTGTGTGCTACATGCATTGGTGTAATGCGGTGCCATTCATTCTTAACACACCCTGCCAACAAATCTGTGCTGCACCCCAGCATATTACATGTTGCAGTTCACTGTCAAAAATGGTACCTGTACCTTTTTGCTGCATTCTGGTATGTTAGGAAGCCAATTTAAAGGAATGGGCTATCTTAACGCAACCTAGGTTAATGCACATGCGCTAATGCAGTGCAGTGGTGTAAATGAGTCCTCACCATAATGTGTCACATTTTCCTTAAAGCAATAGAAAAAAAAAATCTTACTGGTTGCTATAATGGCTTCTCCTAGCGCAACTACATTTTGTATTGCAGATTTCAAGTTACTCCTACTTGATTAGCCAATGATAGTTTCTGACATGAATCAGAAAGATACTATAACATGTTTATTCTGCCTTCATTCAGCATGGCGTACATGCCCTTTTAGTTTTTTTATCTTATTTTGGTCTGTTTGACTTAATCAAAGTGATCTGCTCAACACATTTTAGATAACATTGTACATTTATGATTGTTACACCCTAATCAGTATGCAAAATCACATAGTTTAGTGCAAAATGTGCTCTGTGTGTACAAGTGTTATCCTCAGTACAAGTTTATCCTCAGTAGCTCTGAGAAGAATAAATAAATCATAGCTTAACAAAATTGTGATCTGGCCCAATAAAACCTACTTATCCTTTTTTTAATCTGATTTCTAGCCCAATGACACATACTTAGAATATTTGATATGATTCCTAGCCCAATTACAACCACTCTCATCTACATTTTTTATATGGTTCAGAGCCCAACAATTCTCACACAATTTGAAATTTTTAATCTTGCTCATGGACCAATAGCTTCCAATCACATGCTTCCTACTTTTTAATCTAGTTCCCAGCCTAATAGCTCAAACTTGTTTTAATTTTTGCAAACAATGCTTCTGGTTTAAACATTAGCATAATCAGGCATTATAGGGTTGCTCTTTCAGTCAATAGTGAACATCTCTCCTCATATTTTTTTGTGAAAAATAAAGATCCTTACATTGTGCATGTACCGGTATTTGACATCACTAGGTGAGAAAAGCCAGTACTTGGGATGGTGCAGCAATCAGAAGATAGAAGCTAGGAAAATAAGAGCAGATCTTCCATTGTCTGTATCAACAAGCCCATTTATTGCCACACTTAGACAGTTTTATCATTATTCACTTTATTGCTATCTTTAAAATGCTTCAGTGTATTAGTTACTGTCCAGCCCGCTCCGGTACCATCTTATTATCCTACCTTGGGGTACACCACTGACAACCCTAGACCAGTCAGAGTATGAATCATTAACCACTACTCTCTGAATACGATCTTTTAGCCAGTTTTCTATCCATTTACCTAATAATTTTTCCAAGCCTGTAGACTTTACCTTACACATTAGCCATGTGTGGGGAACTGTGTCAAATGCTTTTGCAAAATCCAAGTAAACCACATCCACTGCCACCCCTCTGTCCAAGGTTTTGCTCACTTCCTCATAAAAAGAAATCAGATTTGTTTGACAGCTTCTGTATTTCATTAATCCATGCTGTCTGTTACTTAAAATATTTTTTTCCAGCAAGAACTCATCTATGTGGTCTTTCCTTAAACTCTCCAGTATCTTCCCAACTATACAAGTTAAACTAACAGGTCTATAATTACTTGGTAAAGATTTTGATCCCTTTTTAAATATAGGCACTACATTGGCCTTACACCAATCCAGTGGTACTAGTTACCTGGGACTAGTCCACAAACAGATACTAAAGTACATGTACACATTCTGTTAGTGCCTGACTGGATTGGCTTTGTTTTCTGTTTATTTAACTTCCTGCAACCTTTTTAAATAAATTTGGCTGAGTACCAGTTTGAAAACTACCTGCTGTCTGAAATCTGCTTGAGCATCCTCCAAGTCTGAATATGCCTTTACACTTTAAAGCAAACTTGTGCTCTGCCCATGCAAATCCAAGCAACAGGTTCACTTTAATGCTTCCTTCCCTAGCAGTGCATGCTCACCTTTCCTTCTCTGCTCTTTTCAGCCTTCAGAAGAGAAGAAAGTACCCAGTGCTTCTGGGTAAGGAGGAGGAGTTCACTTGGTCCCCTTACCCTCATGGTTCTTGGTAATCGGCCCAGCAACATTACATGGGGCAAGGAGAGAGTCCTCAGCCCTGTGTAAGCTGACATTAAGTGAAACAGAGCTTACACAGGGTTTCCTTTCCTTGCTCCTGGTAGCTGAATCTTTAGGTATGGAGACAAAGGAAAGGTGAATATATGGGCATTGAAGTGGACCCATTGCTTTTTCCTGCATCGGCAAAGCACATGTGGAATATGTGGAATAATCATATTTCATGATGTGACAATAAAATAGATTTTCTTTCTTGCCTAGGGTAAATTTATTCGAATCAACTTTGACGTTACTGGCTATATTGTGGGAGCGAACATAGAAACCTGTATCCTTTTTAGCCCGCTGTACTTCAAGCAACGCCGCTAAGCCTAGTCAGCCAGTTAGATAAACAGAAATGCTCTGTATGTCTAAGTAAGGCAAATATCCACAGTAGAGATATAAACACACTAAGACATGGAAGTTGTTTATATAGACATTAAATTCTCAATTTGTACAGCTTCAAAAAGTCCTCTTCCCAACTCCTACCAAAGTCACAGATTATGAAAATGTGTTCCACCATTGCAATTCAATAATTATCTTTATCTAAGAAAATAATTCACCCATTTGTTGAAAACTTTTTTCTGAGTCCATGATTGCTAACAAATTAAAATCACTTCTGGTGAAATTGATGCTTTAATGTAGGGCAGTTCTTGGAGGCCAGAAACAATAGGTAGCTTCATAAATCTGAAGATGATTTGGTCAGTACTGTATTTTGCATATTGCTCTTTGCCCTATTAATGTTTTTTTTCTTTATAACACTTCTAATTAATAACACATTTTTAGTTTATTTTAGGTTTTTACCTATTTGCTTTGAATGCAACACATGGCTGCATGAATTTTATAAACTAGCAGCCTATAGTGTCTCACACCAACTCAAAACACTCTTATAAGCCCTTTTAACAGAAGTTTGCATTGTCGGGTGACTACTTCTGGCTACCTTAATTGACAAGAGTTGAAAGAGAAGATTGTAAATAGCTCCGTTAATTAAAGTTAGCAAGGGAGAAGGTGCAATTCAGGGAAACTGTACTAAAAGAAATATAGAAGTTACCTTTACTGACCTGTTCTTTTCAAAATGCTAGTTGTCTAAACCATTGGTTTTAATTATTTTAAACCACTGATCAGAAAAGCAGGTAACAAGATTTGCATTCTGACTTTACTTTCTACATGCTTATTTTAAGTCAGCATTGATACCAGAGACATCCATACAACTAGCATGTTCAGGAGATGACAGTCAATTGCACCCTATATATTTAAAGGTTTCCTTTTAACGGCAAATAAGAGATCTCAACTGAACTTGTTTGCAAACATATTTTGAAACCTCCTAGAGATAACAAGGTGCATCTGCAGGCGTGTTCCTACTGCCATCATTAGAATCCTAACAATGGGTCACATAAAGCAATGACTGTATTGAAGGAAAGCTTATCAAAAGGTTATCCCAATACCTCCTAAAATGTACAATGAAACATGAGACATCCAAACTCACCTAGGGCAGCTGAAAAGTTCTTGTATGTGTACCAAACATAGCAAAAAGAGAAACCATGGGGTTAGATGAAATGTAGATGAAAATGTCATAGACTGAACCTTCCATATCAGCAAGTTCAGCAAACATTTCCTATCATAGTATATCACTGAGGTGTCCTCACTAATGTATCTTGCTCAGAAACGATTACACAGGAATGTTTTGTACAAAGGTCAAATTATAATCGGGCATTGCATATTTATTTCAGGTACTTATATAGCGCTGTCAATTTACGCAGTGCTTTACATATATATTGTACATTCACATCAGTCCCTAACCCTCAAGGGGTGTATAGGTACCTGAAATAAATATGCAATGCCCGATTATAATTTGACCTTTGTACAAAACATTCCTGTGTAATCCTTTCTGAACAAGATACATTAGTGAGGACACCTCAGTGATATACTATGTTAGGAATTGTTTGCTGAACTTGCTGATATAAGGGATATTAAGATATTGGCACCATACTGTATACTACTGCATAAACAAGTACGGAACGTCATTTCTAATGTTATTTATAGTTAAGTGCCATTTACAGTTGTTTTCTGTCCTAGAAAAAGTTGTTTCTTTAATAACTAAATAGATTTGCTTGAAAAATCCCGTGCTGTTCGTCAAGCAAAGGAAGAAAGGGCTTTCCACATCTTTTACTATTTACTCCAAGGTGCCAAACCTGCTTGGAAAGGTATGTGAGAGGTATCCAAAATATAATGCACGTGTTATGTTTATACATTCAGCCTTCAAATAAATTTGAGAACTAGGTCTGCCGCAGATAAACATTATATTTTTCTAAACTGACCTACTTATAACATTGTAAAAATAACACTTGGAAATAATTGTTTTTATCATGTAGCATGTTTGTTGTAACCGCACCAAAGACGTAACTGTAAGCTTGTGGGCCCAGATGCAATAGTGGACCTGCCCCACAGCCCCCCCCCCCCCCCGGACCTGCCGCTCCCACCATGCGCCAAAGTACTCCCACCACACATCAAGATACTCTAATTCACAAGATTTTGGAGAAACTGTCCACATTTTGATATAACTCTTCAGTTCTTTTGAATACCCTGGAGCAGGGATTGGCACCCCTTGAGAGAACTTGAAAGAGATCTCCAGGGTTCGACACTCTTTTTTGTTTCTTAGTAATTAACTAGCAAGGGGGCCTAATTATATAATAAAGGAAAACTTAGAATAAGATAATAAAACAAATGTCACTTAGCCCACCTTAAAGGTGGACAGTGTCAGTCATTAGAGCAGTGGACAGTGTTAGTAGGGCAGTGGATGGTGTGTGGACAGTTGGTGTGTGGACAGTGTCAGTAGGGCAGTGGACTGTGTGTGGACAGTGTCAGTAGGGCAGTGGGTGTGTGTGGACAGTGTCAGCAGGGCAGTGGGTGGTGTGTGGACAGTGTCAGCAGGGCGGTGGACAGTGTGTGAACAGTGTCGGTAGGGAAGTGGACAGAGCCAGTAGGGCAGTGAACGGTGTCAGTAAAGCAGTGAATATGACAGTAGGGCAGTGTATAGTGTCAGTCAGTAGGGCAGAGGACAGCATCAGTATGGCAGTGCACTTTGTCAGTAGGGCAGAAGATTATGTCAGTAGGGCAGTGGACTGTGTGTGGACAGTGTCAGTAGGGCAGTGGGTGGTGTGTGGACAGTGCCAGTAGGGCAGTGGGTGGTGTGTGGACAGTGTCAGTAGGGCGGTGAACAGTGTGTAAACAGTGTCAGTAGGGAAGTGGACAGAGCCAGTAGGGCAGTGAACGGTGACAGTAAAGCAGTGAATATGACAGTAGGGCAGTGTATAGTGTCAGTCAGTAGGGCAGCGGACAGCATCAGTATGGCAGTGCACTTTGTCAATAGGGCAGAAGATGGTGTCAGTAGGGCAGTGGACGGTGTCAGTAATGTTTATTTTCTTATTTTATATTCGTATTATTTTTTACCATTTTATTTATTTATTTACAATTTTATTTTTAGTATTTTTTTAATCAGACCCCTGATGTTTCACTTTTGCAACAGTCGCTGCAGCCTCAGCTGCACAGAACGAATGGACAGTAATAGCTCTGTACAGAGCTTCCCGTTCATTCAAAAACTGAAGCATAGTAAACACAGTTTACTGTTTTACGCATAGGTAACACAGTTTACAGTGCTTCAGTGAAGAGTGGACACTGATCGCTCACAATGTTCTTTCAGAAGAGGAAGCGGCGGTAAATATCATATTTACTGGCCCCTTCTCCTCTCTCAATCCTGACCCACACCCCGCAGTAGCTGGTGGAGAAGGGAAGTGGGGAAGCTAGCAGCACTGTGGGGGAGGACAGGGGAGCACATAGGGTTCCCAGGCCAGCAGAGATAAGTAACCTGGACAGGAGGGGCGTCATATACAGGAACCCATCCCCTCCCCAATTCGGACCTGTATATGCTGACCCGGCCGCCCCTCCTGTTCAGGTGTAAAATGGAATGGAACAGGGAGGTTGTACAGGCCCCATGGAGCATGGGGCTGGGTCACAATTGCGACCCCTGTGAACCCTGACATTATGTCACTGATCTTTATGTGTAGGCCTAGTTTAGGCCTAGAGTAGAGATGAGCCTGGATAAAAAGTAAACTCTCAAGATACAGCAGTCACCATGGTGTGACTGGTTTAATACAAACACATTGTTTATTAGGGTATCAGGTGAAGAAGAACATATTTCTCCATTTAACCATACAGTAAACAAAATAATAGTATATATCTTGCATTTAACTGGTAATTTGCAAATCTGCTAAAGACCAATAACACCCTCAGGACCAAATTTACCATTAGCCCACAAAAGGGCCACCAGAGGCAGCTTTTAGTATTTTAATTATTAGTATTAATGCATATATTCTATTATCAGTAGCAATATTCATTTAATAACAATTTAATTTATTAAAGGTAAATAGGCCATTCACAGGGAATTTTTGATTTTGATTGACATTTGCAGGATACAATCATAAATCTTCATTCGCACCTGTGTTTCCATGATGCAATCTCAGAATCTGATCTATTTGAATACAAACAGATTCACGAACAAAGCATCTCAGTGCTGATGATCGATGAAAACGATCAATAATTTTCTGTCTTGGTTGATCAGCTCAGTTTGCTTGAATCCGATCTAGATCAAGTGTAAATCAATCAAAAGAGAAGTTATGGCTATTAATTATTTGCCTACGCAATTGTTTTGATCTTTTTTTCTGCACATCAATTGGCATATAAAATCGAAGCATGTATGGCCTCCAGAGCAAACAATTGAGCTCCAAGCTTAACCAAAGAGGAAGAAAATTAAAGAAAATGAAATAAGGATCAGACTGGTATCTTATTCGACTGTATTCGCAATGGATAAAATTTTATCCCATATGTATCACATATGCCAGCTTGGATAATGAAGTGTGCACTGCTATGTTCTGGTTTATATATCAGATAATGTTATGTAAATGCTGAATGTACTCTGCATAATTTGGACAATATGTGATGTTCCTATGGCTACTGTTACTGCCAACTACTTTTTTTTTGTTATTGACTTAAAAAACCTTAATAAAAAAGAGTTGAAAGAAATAAGGATCAGACTGACTGACCGAAAACAATTTGAGCCCTCTGGAGAATTGTATAGTAGTAATATTAAAGAACTAATTAGAAATGTGATATCATATATTTATCTTAAATGCTAACAGTCTATGTCCAATTTGTTGAAATGATATAATGCACATAACTGCTCTTGCACTGTATGGCCCTTTGCAAGGGGGGAGGGGTCTAACTGCTGTGCTCTTCTGCACTCTGGGCATTCGTCCCTGAACACATAGAACCCTAAACACGAGTACCACTCGGTATGGTGGTCAACTCTTCCCAGATGCAATAGGGGGGCCTATTACTAAAAAGCTCTGGTACTACACTGTTGTAGAAAGGTCCTGCATAATTTTATAATATTGTACTACCTGATCTTAATGACCCTAAGACCCCGGTCACACTGGGTGCGTCTTTGCATGCAAATTGCACCTCAAATCGCAATGACATCCCAACTTTGAAATCGTGCGACTTACAGTGAAGTGGCACAATTTCAAAGTCAGGATCGATGTGACCGGGGTGTAAATATAAAAAGCATTGCAAAGAAGTATTTTGATAGGGTAGGCTGCAGAATGTGGTTCCTTGTCAGCATGTTGTTTAACTTCGACTTAGAACACTAGACCTTATTGAATATAGAATGAGTATTTGATTGAATATGTCAATATGCATTTATTGTTCTAATTTTCATTTTTTTTTTTAAAAAGAGGAATTGCTTCTTGAAGGTTTTAGCAATTACACATTTATGTCCCATGGCTATGTGCCTATCCCTTCTCAAGATGATGTTGATATGTTCCGAGAAACATTGGAAGCTATGGAAATTATGGGATTTAATGAAGAGGAACAAATATGTAAGTTACAACCTTTACTTTTCAGCTGTGTCATCTAGGCGTTGTAGCCTTTCCCTGCCATTTAAAAAAAATATATATATATATATATATATATATATATTTTTAAACAATTGTCTTTTATTCAAACAAAAAGCAGAACATATGAACAGAAATGAACTGCAAGAAGGCATGACATAATATCATATCATGTAGTACACAATTATACAGATTAGTTTAGGAGCAAACTCAGTAGTATAATCACAACATTATTCTGAAGGAAGCTTTCTTATAATAAAATGTTTACAATTTGCAGGTACAAATGTCAAGGTAGATATAAAGAAGTGTATCAGCAGAAGAAAATGAAAAGCTAGTGAATAACAATAGTAAGAGTAGAACTATCTCTGTGAGAGGTGTCAAGAATTCACCGGCATGGCCCACACGTCCAAGAGAGAAAAAGAGCTATGCGCTCATAAGCCCCCTTATACTTTTCCGAAAAAAGTGAAAGCATATACCAACAGGACCACAATTTGTGGAATTTTGTTACCATGTCATCAGTCAGTTACAATTCCTGAATGACATTAAACTCTCTTATCCAGTCTTGGATCAAGGGGGTATGAGCGGTCTTCCAGTGCCTGGGAATTAAAGACTTAGCCGCATTCAAAAGGTACCGCACCAAGGATTTCTTGGAACATTCAGAAATATGAAGGAGGAAACATTCCGGGGTTAATGGCAACTGCAGTCCCCGTAATAGTATATATATATATATATATATATATTTATTTTTTGCCTGTGTTGTTGTTAGAATAGTCTTTGTGAAACCACAGTCACCAAGACAATTAAATGTGCAGAAATCACTCTAATAGAGCCCTGGATATTAATAGGAGACTGGAAGGGGTTCTTATCCTTTTACACTTTTTCACTGTTTATCAAAAATCGCTGTTTTTGTGCATGTGTGTACTGTGATGTGCATACAGTAGTTGTGAATGGTTTAAGAAGCCCTTTCCGAGTGTAACATTTTCATTATAGATTTTGTGGTCCTTTAAGAAAATGACATTTTGATTGCACCAAAGGTTATAAAATATTTTATGAGCTAAGCCCAACAGAAGAATTTATACCAATTATAGTCAGTCTTTTCTCTTTGAAGTATCCTCATTTACCAATTAAACTAATCTTGTGAATCTGAAGCACTGATCCCTAATATCATTGCTGGCATCTTTAATAATATAACGATTAACTCCTTCATTGTATGTCAAAGTGGGTCAGCTGATCAGTAGACTGTAGTAGGGTGCATTACATATTGACTTTCACATTTAGTGAAAGGGTGAGTACACCTGCAGCTGAATTACATGTGATGTCAGAAGGCTGTGACCTGTCTAAGGGCACGTGTCCATGTATTTGGAACGTGTTTTGCTTTGCATCTTAGGGAAGAGTGTAGAAACTAATCTCATCCAGAACTCAAAATATCCCTAAACTTACTGAAGATATCTATGCACACTAGTACTAAGACATTCATAGTTTGTAGTAGGGAAAACAAGTTTCACCACTGATTAGGTTTGTGATTCTGTTATGAAACATACCTGCATGACACAAGAGAGAGAGAGAGATGAAGAGAGAGAGAAAGGCACACACAGAGGGTTTGATCTACTAAGGGGCAAGTAGACTGTTTACAAGAGAATTTTCACTTTGCAATGGGGGTTTCCCTTAACTTAGTGAATACGGTGAACATTCACTTTGCAAAGAAAACTAGTACAAAATTGGATGGAAAAGGGAAAGCTTATTATCCTTTAGTAAATCAACCCCAGAGTGTTGGCAGTCTTTGGTACTGGAAAAAGACAAGAAGGGTGCATTCAGTGGGTGCAGGGGATGTAGAGGAAGCCAAACAAGTGCACTTGTTACTGGTAATGTAACAATTACCGAAAGAAAGTCAAGCAGTAACAGTGATGGTTAAATGTGGCTGTTTAAATAGAGAAAGTAAAAACCTTACCTTGGTGTTCAGGAAAAAGAACTGTGCATTGGCGTTCAGGGAAGAGTTTGATTTTGATGCTCAGGAAACTATTTGCATTGGAGCTCAGCAAAAAGTCTGCATTGGTGTCTAAGGAAATGTTTGCATTGGTGGTAAGCAGTGACAGTATACAAGGGGTACAGGGTGCTGTGCCTATCACCTTCTCCATCTCCAGGCAACCACCCATCTTGACCCTTATGGGGTTTCAGATCCCCTCTGGGTTGCAGAGTGATCTCACAAAAAGCCAGTGTCAGTGCTGACAGGCAGGCATGATGCGCTTACCATTGCTGCACTTCCACACAATATACTCGCCAGCTGCTGGTCTATAGACCTGTCCTCTTATCATACGAAAATGTAGCGCAAAATCTCAATCAAAATAACCAATTTATACAGGATTTATATAGCGCCAACAGTTTGCACAGTGTTTTACAATATAAGGGAGACAGTACAATTATAATACATTTCAATACAGAAGGAATATGAGGGCCCTGCTTGTGGAGCTTAAAATCTAAAGGAAGGGGGAGGTGATACAAGTACAGTTCTTAGGTGGAGGTGGGGTAGGCTTCCCTGAATATGTGAGTTTTCAAAGATCGCCTAAAGGCAGACAGGGTGGGGGCTGACCGGACATACTGTGGTAGGTAGTTCCAGAGGATGGGGGAGGCTCTGGAGAAGTCCTGGAGGCGAGCGTGGGAGTAGGTGATGAGGGAGCTGGAGAGGAGGAGGAGGGGAGAGGGCAATTTGGGCGGTATCTGCGGATGAGGTTGGCAATGTAGCTAGGGGCAGTGTTGTGGATGGCTTTGTAAGCTGTGGTTAGTATTTTGAATTTTATATATTGCGTTAGTGGAAGCCAGTGAAGGGATTGGCAGAGAGGGGCAGCAGTTGCTGATCGGATGGTAAGGTGTATGAGTCTAGCAGCAGCATTCATAATAGACTGAAGGGGGATAGCCTGTGTAACGGTAGACCAGTGAGGAGGGAGTTGCAGTAATTAAGACGGCATAAAACCAAGACATGGATACGTTGTTTTGTGGTGTCATTTGTCAGAAAGGGGCGGATTTTGGAAATGTTCTGGAGGTTGAGGCGGCAGGATTTAGCCAGTGATTGGATGTGGGGCCCAAAGGAGAGGTCAGAGTCTAAGATTACGCCTAGCACCCTGGCATGAGGGAAAGGACCAATGGTTGTGCTGTTGATCTTGATGGTAAAGTTGTGAGTGGGGAATCGGGGAGGAGGAAATATTACAAGCTCAGTTTTGGAAAGATAGCGTTTAAGGTAGTGGGGTGACATCCATGCTCATATGTCGCTTAGTAGATTTGTGATACGTGAGGAGATTGAGGGGGTGAGCTGGAGAGTGGAGAGATAGATCTGGGTGTCATCAGCATGGAGATGGTATTGGAAGCCATGGGAGGTTATCAATTGTCCCAGGGAGGAGGTGAAGAGAGAGAAAAGGAGAGCCTCAAGGGCAGAACCTTGGGGTACCCCAACAGAAAGAGGAAGAGGAGCGGAGGAGGAGGAGTTGTATGTAACACTGAAAGTGCACTGAGAAAGGTAAGAGGAGAACCAGGAGAGAGCAGAGTCACGGAGGCCGATGAAGTGGAGTTTACTGAGGAGGAGCAGGTAGTCGACTCTGTCAAAGGCAGCGGAAAGGTCAAGGAGTATGAGTATGGAGTAGTGGCCATTGATTTTAGCAGTTAGTTGGTCGTTAGTGAGTTTTAGTAGGGAAGTTTCTGTGGAATGATGTGGGCGGAAGCCAGACTGTTGGGAATTAAGAAGGTTGTTGTTGGTGAGGTAGCAGTTTATACGGTTGTGAACAAGGCACTCAAGAAGCTTGGAGCAGGGAGATGGGTCTTAAGTTATTCAAACAGGTTGGATCCAGCGAGGGTTTTTTGAGAATGGGAGTAACCAGTGCATGTTTAAGCGGGGAGGGAAAGGTGCCCATGGAGAGTGAGAGGTTGAAGATGTGGGTTAGAGAGTTTAGGATAGAGTGGGAAGGAGACTGCAACAGTAGTGAGGGGACAGGATCCAGGGGACAGGTGGTGAAGTGGGCCTTGGAAAGGAGTTTGGTAACTTTCTCAGTGGTAACAGGGTCGAAGGAGGAGTGTACAGTTTGGTGTTGGGCCTGGTATGTTGGTTAGAGGAAGAAGCTTGACACTGGGGATCTCATCACGAATTGTGTCTATCTTGTTCTTGAAATGACTGGCAATCTCCTGTGCAGTAAGTAAGTTGGTGGGTGGAGGCAGTGGGGGGAATTAAGGGTAGAGAAGAGTTGACAAGGATTGGATGAGAGGGTCTTCATGAGAGTGTTGTAGTAGGTTTGCTTAGCAGCCTGGAGGCTGGAGTTGTATTTGAGAAGAGCGGATTTGTAGAGGGTAAAGTCTTTCAGGGATTTAGTTTTATGCCATGCTTGCTCAAGAGTGCGGCTACGTCTCTTGAGACTTCTGGTGTCGTCAGTTTGCCAGGGTTGTGACAGGCGAGGCCTGGTTCTGCGTGTAGAGAGACGAGCAAAAGTGTCCAGGGAGGATGATAGATAGTTGTTGTAGGCAGATGTGGCCAGGTCTGGGCAGGACATGGGTGCAATTTTATCATAGAGGAGCTCAGTAGTAGAGTGAAGAAGGTCAGGGCTGAGGTGGTGGAGGTTAACCAATGAAAAAATACACAATTCACAGTGTCACTAGGTCATCAAAAATGTAAAACTATGTAAAATCTTTCTATAATCTTTTGTGATTTCTCTTTCTGCAACTCTGCTTTTAATTACAGAATTCTGTATATCGACAATAGAAAGAATGGATAGATACCTAGCCAATATTTGCTGCAGTAATGAAGAATATGATAATGTTTATTAAAAGCAAACTAAACTCTTTTTTCTTTGTGGCAGCCATGATGAAGGTGGTATCCTCAGTATTACAGCTGGGTAATATTGTCTTCAAGAAGGAAAGAAACACAGACCAGGCTTCCATGCCAGATGATACAGGTATGTTTATCCAATAAAGAACTTAGAACTTGTCACCAGTATTTCTGTTTTATTTTTATGTTTCTTCCATTTACATAGCTTTGGGTTTGTACTGAAGAAATCAGACAGAACTAATTAAATATCTTGAAACATATGGGTAATAAAAAAAATAAAGACAGACAGAGAGGCTGTTGGAAGCCCAACTACAGACAAATAATTGTAAATAGATTGAATAAGGATTTGATTGCTGCCTGAGGGTACTGGGGTCACTGACACATTAATCCATAAAAAGTGAAAAAGCCCAAAGACATTCTAATCTATTCTATTATTACTAAAGTATTACTAAACTCCTGTCACTGGAGAGGAAATGGAAGAAAATCTACCAAATGTGGATTCAAACAGTTTACCCCCCAAAAAAACTAACACTGAAAAGTTTTCCCTGGAACTGGACTTTAAAGTGTTGTTTATATATATGAAAGGCAGGCAGGAATTTTAAGTGATACCATATATTGGCTAACGTATGCTATTATAGATACAGGTAGTAGACAGTAGTAGACTATGTATACTGTGCTTGCCATTGATTAATGCAAACATGTTTTGCATTTACAAATTAGCTTTTATTGGCTAACTTAAGTTATTAAAAAAAGCAAACTTTCGGGATGCCTTAGATCTCTTCTTTCAGGCTTTTTTTGTACGTGAAATTTATAATACCTGAAGAAGGGATTTAATAATCTTGCATTTGAATAAATGAAAGTGTAATTTGGCCTTTTCAGAAAAATAACGAAAAGATTAAACACCGTATACCCTTCCCACCCCCTTTCCCCGCTGTACTTACCTCCATGGGTGATGAGCTGTCAGTGCCCACATAAGCAGTGTAATTGTGTGGGGATTTGAAATCCCTGCTCCTCTCCCTCTTCCTTCTGCAGTGCTTCCAGGGAGGATCAGACAGATTCTGATTAGTCAGCACTAGCACAGAACATTGATCTGATCTGTCCCAGAAACACTACAGACAGAAGGAGAAGAGTAGGGCTTTCAAATCAGACTGCTACATCAGCTGTGTGGGCACTGACAGCTCATCATGCAATGAGGTAAGTACAGCAGGGCCAAGGGGTTGGGGAGGGTTTACAGTGTTAGCTCACCTTTCCATTTTTTTCTGAAAGGATGAACTAACCCTTTAAGTCAGCCAATAAAGGCTATCACTTAAACTCCAGACTTTCTGCATTAAGCAATGGTTAACATAGTAATAATACTGTTACATTTGAAATGTATGCTAACTGTTCATCCTAAAAAAATGTTTGCAATTCTAGTCAGATATTCTAGTGAATCACATACACCTGCCACACTGCATCGATTGAATTGTAACTGGAATGTTTATCGTTACATGGTCAGCCTTTGCAATTCAATGCTGTGCTCAATGCTCAAATAGCTGATGATGCTTATTCATTTTCTAATGACTGTACACATTTTTTATTTCAAATGTTTATTTAGTTGTTGGCTTGGATATATTATCGCCATTCATTAATTGGTAATATATAGTTAATATATAATGGGTTGATTTTTATTTTTATAATATATTATGGACAAAGCGAATAGCAAAATTTGATTCAAATACCAACATAATAATTTACTAAAGAAGTTGAGAATCTTCAATAAAAAGATTGAATACCTAAATTATCCAATCATGTGAAAAGCAAATTCCTTTCCACTTTGAATACCCAATCGTGTGCACATGCATTTTACATGATTGGACAACTGAAGTGAATATTCACCCATTTTTTGAGTGAATATCCTCTACTTCTTTAGCAAATCAGGCCAAATATTGGGTGCTGTAAACTGTGTATACTGTAGGAAGAATTTGTATTTTTGTTAGTACTAAAAATTATCCACTAATTCAAGAATTATTGTATGTAAATACCATGGAATTTGATACAAACCACACTGGGCCTGATTCATCAAAACATCATAATACAAGGAGGAACTAGTTCTTACATTGGTAGCAAAGACTGTTCTTTCCTTTGACACTTTGGGGGAGATTTACTAAAACTGGCTCACTCAGTATCTGGTGCACCTGTGCATGGTAGCCAATCAACTATTAACCTCAGCTTGCTCAAGCTGATTGGTTTCTGGACAGAAGTACACCTGATTTTGCACTCTCTAGATTTATTAAATAAATCCCTCTGGTAATTGAGACATGATTTACTATACAAATATAAATCACTTAACTTTACTTAATATATTCCCAGCTGCTCAGAAATGTTGTCACCTTATGGGAATCCAAGTGACAGACTTTACAAGATCTATTCTTTCCCCTCGCATCAAGGTTGGAAGGGATTTTGTGCAAAAAGCTCAAACCAAAGAACAGGTAAGTTTTCCAATATTGCAAAACAGTCTACTGAAATACACATCCATTCATATTATAGGGTTGAGTGTAAATATCTTGATCCATGGATTAATTTGAGGATTTATTGTGGTTAAAGAACTTTAGATGTTGTTCACAGTTTTCTGTGTATTAATAAGTCATTGTGCTGTGTTCATGATGATTATGGGGTTTCTTTTTGTTATTTCAAGATATCACTTATTTTTGAAAATTATTATTTTGTATGTTGTCATATTTTTAAATATAGATTTTTTTTCTATGCTTCTGCCTATAGGCTGACTTTGCAATTGAAGCTTTAGCCAAAGCCACCTATGAAAGACTCTTTTTGTGGCTTCTTAATCGGGTTAATAAGGCTCTGGATAAAACCAAGAGACAAGGAGCCTCTTTCTTGGGTATTCTTGACATTGCTGGATTTGAGATTTTTGAGGTAAGTAAAGTTGTTGGCTGATATTTAATTATTATCAACTCATTGGCTGTATTGAATTGATTTATTATGTGGTACCTTATAAACAGTTAATAGATAACTTTACTTTTTTAATGCCAGATTGATATTGCAAGCCTATGCGTGAACATAAAACCCCATCAGCTACCACAACAATATCTGATTTTGTCATAACTTAGCAACAATTATGAACATACCTTTGGTCCCAGCTAGATCCATCTGAGGGGATATTCCACATTGCTCAGCTACTGTGCTGTAACACTGAAAGATATCAGAATTTGGATGCTGTGTTCATTCTTCATATATCCAGATGTATGATAAACAATAATAATAACACTACAAAGGCACTTTAACCACTTGCCCTCCAGAGGATTTACTCCCCTTCCTGACCAGGCCTTGCTATATATTTTTGCTATTCGATGCTGCGCTATTTCGACTGGTAATTGCGCGGTCATGCAATGATGTACCCAAACAAAATGTATGTCCTTTTTTTCCACACTAATAGAGCTTTCTTTTGGTGGTATTTGATCACCTGTGCGCTTTTTATATTTTGCGCTATAAACAAAAAAATATATAGTAAACTCAAAGTTAGCCATAAATTTAGGCCAAAATGTATTCTGCTACGTCTTTGGTAGAAAAAAAAACCCAATAAGTATATATTGATTGCTTTGTGTGAAAGTAATATAATGTATATAAACTATGGTACATATATTGCAATTTACACCATTTTTTGTTATACAGCGCTGTGCTAGTTTTACTGCCAATTGCGCGGTCATGCAATATGGTACATAAATGAAATTTATGTCCTTTTTTCACACAAATAGAGATTTTTTTTTTGGTGGTATTTGATCACCTTTTTTTTTTTACACAAAGTTATCACTTAAATGACATAGTGCTCACACATGCCATGGGTGCATGTGGAATTACAGCCCAAAATACATTCTGCTACTCCTACCAAATATGGGGATACCACATGTGTGAGACTTTTTGGGAGCCTAGCCACATACAGGAGCCCAAAATCCAATGACCACTTTGAAAGCCTGAAGGTGCGTAACTTCCACCTTTTACTTCCTCACTACCTGTCACAGTTTTGGAGGCCCTGAACTGCCAGGATAGCACCAACCCCCCCCCCCCAAATGACCACTTTTTAGAAAGTAGACACCCCAAGGAATTTAATAACAGGCATGGTGAGTATTTTGCAGATCTCCTTTTTTTCTCACAAGGTTTTGTTTTCTTTCTTCATTTTCCAAAAACATGGCAACAAACGAGATCTGCAAAATACTCACCATGCTTTTTATCAAATTCTGTGGGGTGTCTACTTACCAAAAAGGAGTCATTTTGGGGGAGTTGGTGCTATCCTGGCATTTCAGGGCCTCCGAAACTGTGATAGGTAGTTAGGAAGTTAAATGAGGAAATAAAGTCTTTTAAAAACTTGAAGGTGCTTTTTGGATTTTGAGGTCCTGTACGCGGCTAGACCGCCAAAACATCTCTCACATGTGTTATCACCGTACTCAGAAGAAGTAGTAGAATGTATTTTGGGGAGTAATTCCACATATATCTATAGCATGCATGAGCAATAAATTATTTAAGTGACAATTCTGTATTAAAAAAGTACGCAGCTGGTCCTTGTTGGGTACATATGCTGTGTTCCTTTTTTTTATGAAGCCTGTGGGCTGAATGAAAAAAAAAAGAATAAATGTCTGCCAGAAAAAGTGTGTGGGTATGCCCACCATTAGAATATACCGCCCTGCATCCACCCACTTCTAATTGTGGGCACACATGAAATGTTTTTTTGTCATTCAGCCCGTGCTGAATGACAAAAAAAGAACCTAACAGATTCCTCTATTCACATCGATCGATGTGGATGAAGAAATCTCTGCCAATTTTTTTTTTCTAAATATATGCTGAAGATTAGGGACCATCCACCCACTGGCCACCCCAGGCCCCCATGCTTGGGCATATATGCTCTTTTTTAACTGCGGATAAAAAATCTCATCCAACAGCACTGTACGCACTTACTTATGTATATTCTGAGAGCAAGACCCTGTTGCTATCAGAATAAACAGATCAGTGCTTCAGCTGAATGGCATTTCTGCAAAGAAAACAGCAATGGTTAACAATAAAACAGTAACAGTAAAACTGTAACAGTATAACAGTAACTTGACAACAAAAAAAAAGACAACTTTTTTTGGTTTTTAAAATTAAATTTTTTTTGTACTTTTACTTTTTATGGTTTTTTTTACCTTTAACTTTAACCAGATTATAAGGTCTCTCAAAATGCGATAGCCAGTTTCCTGACTACCTAACATCTTTTGAGACCCTGTGCAAATATGTGCCCTGAACTGTCCATGCTGTACCCTATACTAATACTCCACTAGTGTGTGGTAGCAACAGAAGCAGTCCTTGAGGCAGAGACCAGGTTGGCCAAGATAGGAGGGACAAAAAAAGCAGGTGTAACGCCTAATTCCATGTCTGCTACAGACACATCTTTTTTGGGGTGTCCTTGGGTTAGGGTACCAGGTATGGCAGCAGGAAAATGCCTCTCTTGCAGCCGGCTAACTGCATCTGGGTTGGAGGTTTGGACCATAGCACCTTCTGGATACAAAAGGGCCGTGATGATCTCTTTCTGGAATTTTAGGAAGGATCCACTACATCCAATTGCTTTGTAAAGCACAAAAAGCATTATAGAGCCAATTGAAATAAATAAACAGACACTTTTTTGTACCAGCGTCTGGCTTTTTTGGAAACTAAGTACGGCTTCATCATTTGGTCCTTGAAGTCCACCCCTTCCATGTTAAGGTTATAGTCGTGGACACAGAGGGGCTTCTCAACAACACCAGCTGCTGTGGCAATTTGGATGGTCGTGTCTGCGTGAACGGAAGACAGGAAGAAAACATCCCGTTTGTCCTTCCACTTCACTGCGAGCAATTCATAATTTCACAAGCAGGCTTTTTCCCTCTTTTTTAAGATGGGTATTTAGAAGCTGTTGGGGAACCCCCAGCAATTAGGTCACATGGTGCCACATGCGCCAATTCCAAGATTGTACAAATGTCTAAATGGTGGCACGCTTAACTAAAAATTGTCCACGTATAAGTGGTACCCCATATGGAAAAAGGATGACACCAAGTCCCAAACTATCTTGCCAATGCTCCCCATGTAGTCTGTACATCCAGGGGGCTCCACGTGACCATCTTTTCCCTTGTAAATCCAAAACGTATATGTATAGCCTGTTGCCCTCTCACAGGTCTTATATACATCTTGATCCCATATCTGGCACACTTGCTGGGGAGAAATTGTTTAACCACTTGTCAACCGCACTATAGCCGAATGACGTCCTCCCAGAATGCACCCTCCAGCGCACCCCCGGGGGCATGCACCCGGCGATTTCCGTGATCACTGTGTCCTACAGACACAGCTGATCATGTGATGTGGTAAAAGACCAAACACAGCAGTCTTTTACCACGTGATCAGCTGTGTCCAATGACACAGCAGATCACCGGTAAATGCAGTTGTCGGATATTGGCTGCACTTTCCTCACGCTGTCACAGTGTGAATAAAGTACTGCCGATAACCGGCAATTGTCAGAGGATGGATCAGCACCGATCATCAGGGCACTGATGATCAGTGTCCTGATGATCAGTGCCCATCCACCCATCAGTGCCACCCACATTTGCCCAGTAGTGCCGCCCACAAGTGCCAGCAGTGCCACCCACCTGTGCACAGCAGTGCCACTCACCTGTGCCCAGCAGTGCCTAGTAGTGCCACCTACCTGTGCCCAGTAGTGCCACCAACCAGTGCCCAGCATTGCCGCCAGTCAGTGCCCAGCAGTGTCGCCAGTCAGTGTCATCAGTCAGTGCTGCCCATCAGTGCCACCTGTCAGTGCCAATCAGTGCTGCCCATCAGTGCCCATCATTGTTGCATATCAGTGCAGCATAATCAGTGCCACCTCATCAGTGCAAGCTCATCAGTGCCGCCTATCAGTGCTACCTATCAATGCCCCTCAGTGCTGCCTATTCCTGCCACCTATCAGTGCCCATCAGTGCTGCTTATCAGTGCACATCAGTGCTGCCTATTAGTGCAGCCTCATCAATGCATCAGGAGAAAAATTACCTGTTTGCAAATTTTATAATAGAAACAAAGAAAACTTTTTTTTTCAAAGTTTTTGCTTTTTTTTTGTTTATAGCTCAAAAAATAAAATACCCTGCAGTGAGTAAATACCACCAAAAGAAAGCTCTATTTGTGTGAAAAAAATTATAAAAATTTCATATGGGTATAGTGTTGCATGAGTGCGCAACCGTCATTCAAAGTGCGACAGCACTGAAAGCTGAAAATTGGCCTGGGCAGGAAGGTGGTATAAGTACCTGGTAGGCAAGTGGTTAAATGCAAGGCAGCCAGAAAAACTAATGAGGAACTCATCAAAACAGATGTTTTACTGGGGAGTATAGACATCTGCAGATCTTTGGTTAAGTTGATTTATGAGGGACCGAATGTTGTGGAGCTGGTCAAATTCAGGGTCACCCCAAGGACTACAGAGTGTATTGTTGTTGAAATGCATAAATTGCATTATATTCTCATATCTATGCCTGGCCATGGGAGCAGAACACAGGCATATGATGAATCAGGTCTGTGGACCAATACAACCAGAATAAATTTTTTTTAGTAATGCCCATGTTGAAGTTTAAGCCCAAAAAATATTTAAATTCAGAAACCGTAATAGGTTTCCATGCAAATGGTCTGGTAAGGTTTGAATATGGGTTGGTGGTGATAAACTGTTGTGCATATAAATTGCTTTGATCCACAATCAATGCATACAGATCTTCTGTGAAAAACAGCTCCAAAAAATCAAGGGGAGTAGTTAAATTTTCTGTTTCCACTTGAATTCTGGGTTGGGTGGTAAATGGGGGAAGTATGGGTGCTGCAGAATTTGTGGGCTGCCAATCAGGATTTGCAAGCACATGCGGAAGGACACTAGGGGCTCTATAGGCCTGTGTGCGAATTCTTGGTGGCTGCGGGAAACGACTTGTGCTCACCACCGCACCAGCTTGAACTGCACTTATGGACTCACCACGTCACCAAGTGATACTGCAGTGCTGGTATATTAAAGACCAGGAAGTACTAGGCCGCTGGTGCTTGCCAGTTCACCAAAATGTAGAGCGGCACTAGTACTGGCACTCTGCTGCTTGTGAGAATCATCATGCAATTGTAACATCTCAACAACCTGGGAATGGGTCAGGGACCTCTTCTCCATCGTCTGAGCTATCTGTCAGGTTGCCGCTGCTGTGTACCGGTTTGTATTCTGAGGCAGATTCTGTCAGTGAGGCTTCCCCTTCATTCTCATCTGTCTTGCTCAGAATCCTGTAGGCCTCTTCACTAGAGTACCTTTCGTTGGACATTTTGGCCACTAAATTTATAGGCACCTAGTGCGACTCGTGGGAGAAAAAATTACCTGCAAGTGATAGCAGAGATCAGGCCTGATTCTGAGAACACTGTGGTTTTGTGTTCAATGTATCAAGTGACAGTGATCTACTGACACTACACTCGCTGGGGGAGAGGGGGGTTAAGCGTAGGGGATAAACACAGGTGCTGAGGTGCTGGCAGGTGATCTTACTAAAGCTGTGTTTTTGGGGACACTATACTAATGTGAACGCTGGTATAGTGCTGATCTGATCAAAGATATTGATTCATTCAGACACTATACTAGCAATGGAGGTTTATTGTGTATGTGAGTGTGTTTTCTGACAATCAAGGGGTTAAATGTGATGACTGATGTAGTGACGGGCAATCTGATGCTATCTGGGAGGGACGCTAACTGACACTAATGCTATCTGAAAATGTTTGTAAATGCATTTATGGCCTTGTTAATGAAGCCTAATAGTACTATAAATATTGAAAAATCTTTAACTACCTATTTTTGTGGAAAAATTTGATTTATATGCCAGAGCTGCTGACCATAGTCAAAGTCAGGAGCTGCAACACATTCAGTATGTAATTGACAGTCATAGCCACTCAATATACTGTACCTGTTATTATAAATCCATTACTATTAAGTTGCTATGTAATGAAAGCTGCTTAGGCATGATAATTACACTTCAAGACACAGAAATTAATGCTATTGCCCTGCTGCACATAAGTGAAGGTGGTGGCTAAAAGACGCTGTTATCACTACTGATACAAATTTATTAAGTTGGCTCTTTGTGCCTTCTGTTCACTTTGGAATGGTTTGTTTTGAAAAGGCATAACAGTTTAGATAATAATAGTTAGATCATTGAACTATTTATGTATATTGTTAGTATGTATGAGCTGCATCAAACTTTGTTTTTACATTTCAGGTGAACTCATTTGAGCAGCTATGCATCAACTATACCAATGAAAAACTTCAACAGTTGTTCAACCATACTATGTTCATTCTGGAACAAGAGGAATACCAAAGAGAAGGCATTGAATGGAACTTCATTGATTTTGGCCTTGATCTGCAGCCATGCATTGAACTTATCGAAAGACCTGTAAGCTAATAATAAATATATGTAATATAAAGTGTAATATATCTTGATTGGGTCTATACAAGTTTTTTTTTCCTTATGAAGAACAACCCACCTGGTGTTTTGGCCCTTCTTGATGAAGAATGCTGGTTCCCCAAGGCAACTGATGTTTCATTTGTTGAAAAACTCATTCAAGAACAAGGAAACCACATTAAGTTTCAAAAACCGAAGCAGCTGAAAGATAAAACCATCTTCACCCTTCTTCACTATGCAGGAAAGGTATGTGTCTTTTTTGGGTTCTTTTAAATCTATGTTTCTAATCCTGCTTCGATATTTTGTAAATTATTAAAGTAAAATTCTAATTTTATCTTAGAAAAAAAAACTATTTTTGTAACATGACTTTTTATATAATGTAAGTAAAAAAAAGTCTACTACAGACAAGCTAAAATGTTTTTTTGCTTATTCTTCAGGTGGACTATGATGCCACTGCTTGGTTGACCAAAAACATGGACCCTTTGAATGACAATGTAACTTCACTATTGAACCAGTCATCTGATAAATTTGTTGGAGACCTATGGAAAGATGGTATTAAATTATTTGTATTTTTAGCAATCATTAACCACCTAAATGTGCTTTAAAAGTGCTTTATAATGATAGAGGTTGGTGCATGGCAATACAAAGTAGAGGCATGATGACATGTAACAGTCTCTTTTGATCAGAAGATTGCTGAGGCAGGATACATAAGCTCTTAGATTATGAACATTATATTGAAATTGGAAATGCATATATTATCTCATCTTTGACTGCTATTTTTTTTGTATTAGAATGGAGCACAAACATGCAGGTACTTATCAGACAAGTGTAAATGTTTATCTACTGAGGAGGCATGCCTGGTGTTAGCTTTCCTGAGGGTAATTGGATGACCATGTCTCTTAGCATCTGAAAGGGCCAGCAGACATAGCAGTTTTATTTCATAATTCACTGTTTTAAAAATAATATTCAACCATCCAAATGTAATTTTAAGTAACTTTCATTGGACCTATTCAGTGGAGCTCTGAAGAGAGTGGTAGCCGTTTGAAGAGTGGTGAGGTTAAGATTAGGCTAGAAGCAGCCACATATTACTCTTCTACTTTTCAGCCTATGCCTTAAAGCTCTGTTCAGGTTTTCATTTTTAGTTTATTTAAATAAGTTTAGGTAGCAAAGTCATATATCTTTAAAAACATGTTTTATAATTCTAGTCGATCGTATTGTGGGACTGGACCAGATGGCAAAAATGACAGAAAGCTCCTTACCAAGTGCTTCCAAGACTAAAAAAGGCATGTTCCGTACCGTTGGCCAGCTTTATAAGGAGCAGCTAAGCAAGCTAATGACAACACTAAGAAACACAAGCCCTAACTTTGTCCGTTGTATTATTCCAAATCATGAAAAACGGGTCAGTGGACATTTTTCTTTTATTATAAGAATTGTTGAAATAGATTTTTACACCATTAGTTTCCAAGCGCACAGTGCCACTTAATTTGGTTTCTTGCATACTGGTGTACACTATACAATATAACTACACTGAATGGCTAAGTAACAAAAGGTAACAAAAGCCCTATCCTGAGAAAGAATTCACAATTTTTAAGCATATTTCGTGTTTCATTAGTCAGGAAAACTTGATGCCCACCTTGTGTTGGAACAGTTGAGGTGCAATGGTGTCTTGGAAGGAATCAGAATTTGTCGTCAAGGATTCCCAAATAGGATTGTATTCCAGGAGTTCCGTCAAAGGTAAGATTTGTTCATGTGAAAACAAGATTAAAAGCAAGAACTAGAAAAAAAAATAATGGTATAAAAAACATTTCTTATGTTTTAGATCCTATATGACTACAAAATAAGCCACTGCATTTGTTTTTGATCACAGATATGAAATTCTTGCTGCTGGTTCTATCCCAAAGGGCTTTATGGATGGCAAACAGGCCTGCATACTTATGGTAATATAAAAATTGAATAGACATTGATGTAATAGATTTTCACCTTGTTTATAAACATTACACATACAGTATATAGTCATAGGTAAACAAATAAATATCACATTCAAAAGCCTCTAACAATTAAAAGTGCCTAAAAATTAAGTGTTGGCTGATACTTTTTAAATTAATTGATTAACTCACTCTGATTTGTTCACATCCACTTATGCCATTAACCTCCCTGGCGGTATTCCCGAGTGTAGCTCGGGGTAAAGCTTCAGTACCAAAAGCGGTAACCCCGAGCTACACCCGGCTTACCATGCGGCGTTGCTCAGGGATTCCCTGCAGCGCTTACCTTGTCCTTTGCTCCCGCGATGTGTCCCCTGCAGCGTCCCCGGCCATCTCCTCTGGCCGATGCCGGCATCTGGCTTCCGTGTTCCGGTCCCTGCGAGTGTCGGGATGTACGGGGGCCGGAACGGCGGCAAATTTAAACATTTTTAGAAACTGTCATTTTCTTAGAAATTAATTTGACATAGTAAAACATTACTGTATCAAACCATTTCACATACATTTGTCCCTACTGCTTTGTCATGTGCCCTGCCTGCATTTTGACTGTTCTTTCTGCCTGGAAACTTAGAAAAGTCCATGGCGTCCAAAAAGCGTCCCTTTTGGTCAAAAGCGGTTTTAGACCGACTAGAGAACAGCGATAGTAAATCAGAACTACTTGCAGAATTGATTGATAATGATTCGTGGGGAAATTTGTCATCAGACACTGAAAACCATTTTGCGACTTTGCTCAGCGATGTGCGAACTTGGTGCTATATTTCAAATTTCAGTGTTTTTGGTTTGATTATATTATTGAACTAAATGTATTATTATTATATTATTATTTTTATAATTATTTATTAAATTATAATTTATGATTTTGTGTTTCAAGTTTTATCCTATCTGGAATGTTTACTAGACTCTTGTTCGGACAGATTTCAGTGAGTTATTCCTAAAAATTACAGGCCTACAATAAAAAAAATACATATTTCCATGCAAAAAAAGTACCGCTTTCAGCACAGAAATATGGACATAATCATACCGCTAGGGAGGTTAAACAAACATTTATACCCTATGTTAAACAAATTGTTAGGTTACTGTGAAAATTGTTGAACATTAGATGAAGAGGGAATCCTGTGCAGGAACATGGTGTGGGTCAATTTATTGCTCTATTCATTTTGAGCATACCACCTGACCCAATTTGTAACATGCTATGGTCCTAATATGTCTTGGAGCTCTTCCAGTGGCAGCTGTTTTGTGTTTGGTGACATTAGGGGTGGCAAGTGGAACCCTTTTTTGTCTTTGCCAGTGGCAATTAACTTAATAGAGAGGCCTATAAACAGCTGAACATCATAGTTTGGATTTAGTATCCTACTGAGGGGCAGCAAAGGAACAAATGTATGAAAGAGGTTATTACTAATCTTAAAATGTTACTAAACCCACAGATTTACTACCCTAATGAGGGGCAACAAAGGAAGAAATTAATGAAAGAGGGTGTTATTAATCTTAAAGTATTACTAAACCCACAACAGTAATAACAGTCTGTATATTCAGTAAAACATGCTTGTTATACTCACTGTGGAACCTAAGGGGTTAATCCTTTTCATTGTTTGAAAATGCGGTTTGATCCTGACTTCTCTGATCCTCCCCTTCTTCCAGTGTCTCCCTCTTATCTTCTGATAAGACATATCATGGAGACACTCTGCATATGCTCAGTTTAGTGTGTATTGCTAGAGAGATTTTTTTTTCTTGGGAGAGTACATGTGATCAGCACAGGGCCAATCAGCACTGTCTAGACAGAGGTCATGGGTTCTACATCCTCCTAGAGCAGAAAGAAAAGTCCTCCTACAAGCTTTACTATGTACTCTGCTGGACATTGATAGAAGTCACAAGACTGCTCTAACTGCTGATAAGAAAAGGTATTTAGCAGTTTATATTTACTAAAGCAATTGCATTTCAATGTAGTGTGTTCTGTGGGAGACCAGATAGAATGAATGTATGGTCCTGGGTTTAGTAACACTTTAATGAACATATGTTCCTGGCTGTTGTCTCACCTAAACAATGTGGCCTAACAATTTGACATACATTGTACTGTAAAGCACTTTTTCTCTCTTCCTCCTCATTTCAAATGTTCTATTGAGTGATTTGTTACTTCATGGCCTTTACTAAAGTAACCTTCAATTATCAATTGGTTATGTATATTTTCAAGATAGCCCTATTTAGGGGTCAGTGAGTGAATGTATGCTAAATACATGCAATGACAAGATGAACTATATAAATCATATATTTATCAATGATACACTGATAAATTACTTATTTCTTATGACTGTTAAAAAATGGTGTAGAACAGATTTCATATGTTGGATATTGTGGGGCTTATTGTACTTCATTAGTTTTTGCAATGCAAGTTTGCTATTTTTATTTACAAGGTAATGTGAGCTTCATGAGTGATTCTCAGAATTCTCAGAATATTCTCAGAATAATTGTATTATTAATTTTCTTGAAGTGCTTTTAGTATATTGCCAAAAGTATTAGGACACCTGCCTTTACATGCACATGAACTTTAATGGCATCCCAGTCATAGTCCAGAGGGGTCAATATTGAGTTGGCCTACCCTTTGCAGTTATAACAGCTTCAACTCTTCTGGGAAGGCTGTCCACAAGGTTTAGGAGTGTGTCTATGGGAATGTTTGACTATTCTTCCAGAAGCGCATTTGTGAGGTCAGGTACTGATGTTAAACGAGAAGGCCTGGCTCGCAGTCTCCACTACAATTCATCCCAAAGGTGTTCTGTCGGGTTGAGGTCAGGATTGGGAAGCCTGCCTTTACACACACTTGAACTTTAATGGCATCCCAGTCTTATTCTATAGGGTTCAATATTCAGTTGACTCACCCTCTGCAGCTATAACAGCTTCAACTCTTTTGGGAACGCTGTCTACAAGGTTTAGGAATGTGTCTGTGGGAATGTTCATTAGGCACTGATGTCAGACGAGAAGGCCTGGCTCGCAGCCTCCACTCTTATTCATCCCAAAGGTGTTCTATTGGATTGAGGTCAGAACCACAGACCAGTCAAGTTCCTCCACCCCAAACTTGCTCATCCATGTCTTTATGGAAGGCCTGGCTCGCAGCCTCCACTCTTATTCATCCCAAAGGTGTTCTATTGGGTTGAGGTCAGAACCACAGGCCAGTCAGGTTCCTCCGCCCCAAACTTGCTCATCCATGTCTTTATGGACCTTGCTTTGTGCACTGGTGCACAGTCATGTTGGAACAGGAAGGGTCCATCCCCAAACTGTTCCCACAAAGTTAGGAGCATGAAATTGTCTAAAATGTCTTGGTATGCTGATGCCTTAAGAGTTCCCTTCACTGAAACTAAGGGGCCAAGCCCAACCCCTAAAAAACAACCCCACACCATAATCCCCCTTCCACCAAACTTTACACTTGGCACAATGCAGTCAGGCAAGTACCGCTCTCCTGGCAACCGCCAAACCCAGACACGTCCAGCGGATTTCCAGACAGAGAGGTGCGATTCGTCACTCCAGAGAACAGGTCTCCACTGCTCTAGAGTCCAATGGTGGTGTGCTTTACACCACTGCATCTGACACTTTGCTTTGGTGATGTAAGGCTTGAATGCAGCTGCTCAGCCATGGAAACCCATGCAATGAAACTTTCTACGCACAGTTGTTGTGCTAATCTGAAGGCCACACAAATTATGGAGGTCTTTAGCAATTGATTCTGCAGACAGTTGATGACTTCTGCGCACTGTGCGCTTCAGCAAGCGCTGACCCCACTCTGTCATTTTAAGTGGCCTACCACTTCGTAGCTGAGTTGCTATTGTTCCCAGTCACTTCCACTTTGTTATATTACCACTAACAGATTGATTGTGGAATATTTAGCAGCAAAGAAATTTCATGGATGGACTTATTGCACAGATGGCAACCTATCACGGTGCCACGCTTGAATTCTTTGAGCTCCTGAGAGTGACCCATTCTTTCTCAAATGTTTGTCAAAGCAGTCTGCATGCTTAGATGCTTTCTTTTATACACTTGTGGCCATGGAGGTGATTGTAACACTTGAATCCAATAATTTGGAGGGGTTTCCTAATACTTTTGGTAATATAGTGTATCTGGATATTTTGTTTGATAAGTCAGTGATTAATATAGCCCAATGAAAAAATGGTGATTTACAATGTATGTGAAATGTCTTTCTTTTTAGATGAAAGCCTTAGAGCTTGACCCTAATTTATTCAGAATTGGCCAAAGTAAAATATTCTTCAGAACAGGTGTCCTCGCCCACCTGGAAGAAGAAAGAGACTTAAAGATAACAGATATTATTATTGCATTCCAAGCTCAAAGCCGTGGTTACCTTGCAAGAAAGTGAGTGACACTAAGATATGGACTTTTTTTACATTACATGTAATCAGCTACTGTATACTTCAGCAGGAAACTAATGTTACAAGGAGGTTTTTACTTTTAGAAAACAGTGAAGAAAGCCCTTCTGACCTGTTCTACTTATTAGTGCAGAGGTAATACTATCAAGCAGGCCAATAAATGTGGGAAAACAATTTCCATCCACCAGACATAAGAAAACATATAGAGACCCACATTCCTGACAGTGCTAATCAGAGAACCCTTCTCTCCAACATGTATCAGGATTAATGCAGGTTTTTGCCAAAAATACAAAGCTTTTTCTAGCATTGAACAATTAGCATAAGTCCTTTGTAACCTTCTGTAGTCTATTATTTATGCATTGCCTAGATTTATATGATATATAATACCATTAGCTTTGACTGCTTACTAGGACACTAATTTGAAGACTAACATTCAAGAAAAAAAACTGTTTAAATTAAAGGGAATGCAAAAATCAGAAGTATATTTCTGCTCCAGGGGCTAGGAACAACTAGACCAATCAAATGTGAAGGGCTGGAGGTTGCCCATTAGCTAATTTACAAAATCTTTAAACCCACATAAATGTCTAGGACTATATGCAAATATGTATTTATGATTAGTGATTTCTTCACTCATTTATCTGTGTTTTAAAGACAAAACACGAATACAAATATGGAATTTTATAGTCCCAGAGGGATTCAAATTTTTAATAGCTTTCTCATGTCAAGATTTTCTAGGCACATTTATATTCTTTTTAAAGTCTAGCTCAAGGCAAAATTATTTTATTATGGATAGAGTAGGGAAGGGTTAGCTTACAAATACAGTCTCTGAATCACCAACCCCACTCACTGCAAATATGCTTTTTCTGAAAGTAATATGTCCCAGTATTCAAAGCAAAAATGTTCTGTGCCCTTGAACTGTAAATTGTACAACCTTTTACTTTTAAAGGGCCTTTGCAAAGAGACAACAGCAACTGACCGCTATGAGAGTAATTCAGAGAAACTGTGCTGCTTATTTAAAGTTGAGAAACTGGCAGTGGTGGAGACTGTTCACTAAGGTAATTCTGGTGAAAGAAACATCTTTATATGTACTGCATGTATGTCTGTATATGTATAAATGTCCATCTCACAGATTTACTGCATTTTACTGTTTATGGGGTTATCTCATTTCTAGCTTTCAAGCTTATGTATATGTCATCAGTTGTGTCCTGCATGTGACCCTTTGACAGATTATAATAAAGGCAAACTGAGCAGCTGCTTGCAGCCCCAAACTCCCGAAGAATAAAAGGGATAATATTGTAATGAAGAGGATGAATACAAACACAACATATGTTTGAATTCCATTTCCTTGGCTGCCTATTGGCATCTTCAACAATGTAAAAAATATCTAAAAGTGCTATATAATGTAGGCATGATTTTTATGTACACAGTAGAAATAAAGCAACTACTGTATCTGCTGAAATAGAAAAAAAAAAAACTGAGCAGTGATAATCAGCACTAGTCAGGGAAAATGCCTGCAGTTTATATATGCTACTGAAAACAATTCCAACCTAGTACCTGAGTGTCAAGTGTTTCAAAGATGAGCAGTGAACATATGTCCCATGTAGCCTGTTAAGGCCAAGAAAACAAAAAGGAAAAGAAAAGGAAGAAGGAAGCAAAAAAAGAGATGAGTTTTAAGAGTGTGGAAGTGAGAAGGGAAAAAATGTATGTGGGGGTGGGAATAGGTTTTCCCGTGTATATCATGGGTCATGTGAAGCAGACATATTCCTAATGGTGTTTCCTGCATCTCCAGAGGGTTTGGTTCAGTAGTTCACAATTGGGAGCCTAGAATGTCTCGATATTCTGGTGAACAGGTAGCCATGTTTTAGGGAAATGATCTTCGCTGTGATTTGCTGAGAGTATGATTCCTTCCATTAGTTTGATTTAATTGATCTTGGTGAACCACAGACTAATGGGAGGAGCAGTGGTTTGTTTCCAATACAGTGGAATACACATCTTAGCTGCATTGTATCAGTAGGGAACACTTGTAGCACTTCATTGACATGGAGTTTAAGTGCAAAAGAAAGGCAGGAATGTAATTTGGCATCTATCAACTTAAAAATCCAGTAATTAACTTGTGTCCAGAAGTTCCAGAGACATGCACAAGACCAGAAAACTCGGGGCATGGGGCCCTCCTCTTTCTGACAGTGGTGAAACGTATGGGAACGATTTATGTACAGTCGTAGGAACTCAATACCACCTTGCTAAAATGTTGTATCCCATCTCTTGGGTTTTATTTGAAAAAGATGCTCTATGTATCAGTAAAATTCTTTCTCTTTGTTGATCAGTGAAGGTGGTATTTAGGTCACACTCCTATTGTTGTTACTTGGTTTTGATTATGCATAGATATATAGCAAACAATACATCACAATGTATTTATGTTTCTCTGACTGTCATTCTTTTTCCAGGTGAAGCCTCTTCTGCAAGTGACCCGTCAAGAAGAAGAAATGCAAGCTAAGGATGAAGAGCTTAAAGTAGTCACTGAGAAATTCCACAAAACAGAGCTTGAATTTAAGGAACTACAGATGAAACATGTGCAGGTATAGAGATGCAAACATTTCTCACTAGCTCAACTAATCTATTTTCACAGCTATAATTGAATTTTAATGGTATATTTTGCAGTTGTGTTCCAAGATAAATTGGCCAGGTTCATTTAGTTCGACCAATAGAAAAAAAAACACCCATAAACAAATAGAAAACCTCCATATACACAATCCTATACCCACAATTGATCCAGCAAAAGGCAACAGAAACCCCAATAAAGCATGGTCCAAATTGCTCCAGCAGGGGGAAAAAAATCCTTCTTGATCCCCCAGTAGACAATCAAATATTCCCTGCATAAAATACCCTTGGTGTTATTACCTATAAATATTAGTATCCAGGTGTATTTTGTATTTTTTTGTGCATGGGAAAGATCCCAGGTCTTTTTTTAAAACAATCTACTAAGCTGGCCAGAACTAGTTCTTGAGGGAGCATATTTCACATTTTTACAGCTCTTACCGTGAAGAAGCCTTTTCCTATTTGCAGGTGAAAGAAGTCTTTTCCTATTTGCAGGCGAAGAAGCTTTTTCCTATTTGCTTCTTGTGATGACCTTAAGTGAATAACTGTACATCAACGTCACTATATTGACCACTTATGTATTTATACATTTATTGTTTGTTCTATCAGATTACAGAAGAGAAGAATGTCCTCCAAGAGCAGCTTCAAGCTGAAACAGAGCTGTATGCTGAAGCAGAAGAGATGAGAATACGTTTACAGGCTAAGAAGCAAGAATTGGAGGAGATTCTTCATGAAATGGAAGCGAGGATAGAAGAAGAAGAAGAACGTGGCCAGCAACTGCAGGCAGAGAAGAAAAAAATGCTGCAGCAGATGCAGGTATTGCATAGCTTCCCATTTTGCTTTTAGAAGACCTACTTAAAAAAAATGTCCCTGTACATACTTGAACTGGACTTACAGCATACAAAAAGGTATAAATACATACGCAAATCTTTGTCAATGGTTTGCTGTATCAGATACATAAAGACCAACAGCAAGACTGAAATGGTTGTTTTTCCTGGTAAAAATCCTGCTGCAGATTTCCTCCACTGCTGCCTACATCAGCAAAAGCCTAGTCCTAGGATTTTAACAGTGTCATCCTCTTTGAAGGGGAGAATGAGTTCAGATGGATTCCTTTTGCAGAAATCATGTAGCCAAGACTGAAGTTTTTTCTTATCTAACCAGGTTCTAATTTTAAAGAAAAGGAACATTATTTTTTAGCTCTTCTGTCAATATTTTTTTATCCATCTCAGCAATTCAGTATCTATTCCAGCAATATGAAAAAGGGAAAGTATGTAAGAAATGGCATGGCAAATGGCAATAGTAGCCCTCATTCAAAATAAACGCAGAGCAGGACTCACTGAGGTTGATTTACTAAAGGCAAATAGACTGTGCACTTTATAAGTGCAGTTGCTTCAGAGCTTAGTAAATTGGGTAAAGCTTCACAAAGAATACCAATCAGGTGCAAGTAAAATAAAAAAAAATCAGCATTTTTGGTTGCACATGATTAGATGATGGAAGTTAGTAGAGCTTCCGCTCATTTACCAAGCTCTGGAGCAACTGCACTTGCAGAGTGCAACTGCACTTCCAAAGGGCACAGTCTGTTTGCCAATCAACCCCATTGACACCCCAGCCCTGCAGAATGCACTAGAGAAAGAAGGTAAGAGAAAGCTCCACTGTCATGTTTGCAGCCAGTCCACTGTCTAACTGATTGCACTGGGAGAGACACTTAATGTGTATTGCCCATAGCAACAGATTAGTTTTTTTAAGTTTTCTAGTAATAGCTTTGAAATTAAACAAAGACCTCTGTTGTTATTGATAATTTCTTCCATATTAACAAGCTTGGCTTCAAAACAGTAGCCATAAACCAATTTGTTAAACCGCAAGTTAACATGATACTGTGTTAATTCTAATGGACCGGACGCCAATTTGGGAAAAGTGTAAAGTAGAAGAAAAAACTCCAATAGCAACTAATCAGCTTCCAACTTAGATTTTTTAAGCCCTAGCTTTCAAAAAGAACTAGTCACTTTGATTGCTATAGACTTGGGCTATAAGGGCTTGTTCACACTTGACTAAATTTCTCTTACCAAAGCTCTGATAGCCTTAGTATAGACATTAGGCAGGTGTTAATGAGCTTTAGTATGGGTGGTAGGTAGACAGGTGTTAATGGGCCTTAGGCATTAATGAGCTTTAGTATGGGCTTTAGTCAGTATTAGACTGGCTTTTTGCAAGCATTAAAAACACTCCCCAAACACCTTATGAGCAGTTTTGAAGCGTTTTATAAGTGTTTGACAAGCGCTAAAGCCACACCACAAACTAAATGAACGTGCCACAACCACAGGGCAAATGCCCTGCAAATGCCTGCCAGTACTTTTGAGGAGCTTCATCATAGACTTGAATAGGAGGCATTGAAAGGCTTAAACTCCTTCTGACTAGACATGAAGGAGTTTTGAATTCAATTTTGAAGTGACACAACGCTAACACTTCATGTTTTGATAAATGTGAACAGAACTGTGTGCTGTCCATAGTATCATTTGCATAGACGTTTGAGGAGTGTTAAAAACAGCCCTCAAATGCCTGGTTTCAATAACAGTGTGAACTAGGCCTTAATGTTTTAAGCCAAAACTTTATTATGCTTATATTTTGCCTTCTTTAGTTCTATCTTTCCCCCTCAACAGTATGCCAATAAACTTTAAAATAAAATATCTCTCTTTTCATTAAATGCTTTATTTTAGACTGAGTGATGTCATCTCTGAATCTCTGTGCTACTCTATGCAATGCAGGCAGATCAAGATTGGTGGAAGGGGCTAGCAGGATGCTGTACACAGTGCAGTTTCCTGAAAACATCACAGCACCTTGCCTCACTACTCTTAAGAATCCTTAATCCTGATGTCAGTAGTTGGCTGGCTCGTGTAAAGAGTTATGTAAGCAACAAAATGCCTTGATGGGTGGTTGTCAGTCTGGAGGAGAGGGAATTCCCAGGTAGACTGCATTTGCGTGCAGACCACTCTAGGTAAGGTCCACTTGCCACACGTCATGCTTAATCCCCAAAAGCTAAAAGACCAGGCCAGGGACAGTCTTGCTGGGGAAGAAAATTTTAGATGATGCTATTTGTGTTCCAGTCAGGAAATAAGGTGGGCTCTGCCTGACTTCTCATGCACACTGTAAGAAGCTCATAGTGTACAGTGAAATTAGAGTAAGCTGACCTCAGTACAGGAGAGGAGCCTATACAACTGTACAAGGCTGAAGATAAGGCTGGTTCAACTTTAATTTAGAACAAGTTTTCATACACCAGAATTTTTCAGAATATGTGCCATGACTTTGTATGCTTTATGTTAGGACCTGGAAGAGCAGCTGGAGGAAGAGGAAGCAGCCAGACAGAAGCTGCAACTAGAGAAAGTGACTGCAGAGGCCAAGATCAAGAAACTGGAAGATGATGTTCTTTTAATGGATGACCACAACAACAAATTAACTAAGGTAGAGCCCTTACTACATTGGAAAAATGGAAGAAGGCCTCTGGATGCCAAAGGCAACAGGAAAACTTCTTCCATAACAGTCAAGTGTCCCTCTTATGCAAGACAGTTGCCCCATTTTTTCAAAATGCTCTATGTTTCACCCAGAATGGTCTGCCAGATAGGGGCAGCACATCATTTATTTTCCATTTCAGAAAACAGATCCTCACAGTTTTTTCAGAATTGGCAGCAATTGTGCTTTTATCTTAAGGGCTTTTATCACATCTATGTGCACAAATACTCTTATAATTTGTGCATTACTGTGTGGTTAAGCAAAGTAGGTAGAACAGCATTCAAGATTAAAAATTATTAACTTTTCAGACACGTGAAAAATATATGATGCATGTGTTTTAATGTAATATAGGTATTTATATAATGCCAACAATTTATGCAGCTCTTTACACACACTGTATATCAAACATTCACATCAGTCCCTGCCCTTAGGGCCAGCTCACACTACAAAAACGCACTCCGGATACATTCCCTATACATTTTTGCTTACAGTTCACACCACACGCAGTTCTGGTGCAGTTTTGATGCCGTTTGCTATGTTCCAGTATGGTTCTGTACAGAAAAAATGCAGCATCTTCTACTTTTTTTTCTGCACTGGAAATTGACTAGAACCGACTGCACTGGTGTGAACCTGTGGAATACATGGAAAACACGGTGAATGCATTTTTGATGCAGAAAAAGAGTGCACTGAACTGCATCTAGTGTGAACCTCAAGGAGATTACAATGTAAGGTTCCTAACTTATACCAGGGCCAATTTATCTATGAGCCTGTCTTTGAAGTGTTGCAGGAAACCCACACAAGCGTAGAGAGAACACTTCATGGAGGTAGTGTTTTGGTTGGTATTGGAACCGACAACGCAAGTACTGCAGGGCAGAAGTGCTAACCACTATACTATTCACCCCTAAGGGGGCACGTAACATGCACTGTAATGCACAAAAAACATGCTGCATTGCAGTACAATGGTGTAAATGGTCTCTATTGGTATTGAATTTCTTTTTCTACACATAAATTCCTGTGGAAAAACACATCAGGCCCATAGACATGCTGTTAAATAAATGAGTGCATCAATTTAGCAGGAATAAAAAATAATTGAAAGCAAAAAACAAAACAAAAAAAAAAACAAAAGTCATTTTCTGTCTTTTTAAAAAACAGGAAAGAAAGTTGCTTGAAGAGAGAGTGAATGACCTTACCTCTAACCTGGCAGAAGAAGAAGAAAAGGCAAAGAACCTGACTAAATTAAAAAACAAACATGAATCTATGATCTCAGAACTGGAAGGTACGACAAAACGTTTGCTTTGCCAGTGGTCTGAGTGAAAAATGTATGCAGATAGAGGTACTATTATTATAGAAATGTAGAAAAGGGATCATCCGTATCAATCGGTATATGAAAAACAGTTCGAAATTGGTCATATTAATAAATAAGATGTACTGGAAGGAAAACATGACTGAAAAAGTGACCATATGTTGTATTTGCCATGATAACCATTTTTAACTTGAATTAAGGATCATATACTTTAATTTTGAGAGCCAATCCATGTTGTGTAAGTGCCAGGATTATGTTTAGATATAACAGGGTGCTGTGGCTGAGGTTTCATAATCGGCATGTTCCTATATTGAACTTAAGTATAATTCCTGCAAATTTGTTTTCTTTAGCTTTGATAAGAGTGGGGAAGGGATGTACCTTGGTCTGGCACATTTTGCTGGCTGAAGCTAAAAAGAGTGGGAAATTTGAGTGTAGAGTGGAAACAGGGGCGGACTGACAACTCATGGGTCCTCCAGGCAATAGGTGATCATGGGTCCCCTGTGTCCTTGCCCAAACACAAAAAAAGCCTATGAAAAAGGTACCAGGGGCATCTCATGGGGCCTATATATTAAAATAGTTATTTAAGAGGTTATTGAATAAATTAGCGTGTCACCCAATGTATGGTCTCCATTCAGTAGCCAAAAGAGGCATACAAAAAAGGGGGGGTTTGTGAAAAAGAAATTCACAGAAAAGCGGCTACATAGTGAACAGAACGTGACACACAGGAAGAAATTTCCAAAAATTATGCTTTATTACACATATAAAAATATGACATATGGGCTTTCGCCCTGGTTTACCATCACCTCAGTTGAGACAATACACACAGACCTAAAACCATTTAAAATGACACCAGAACCGGTCTAAATGTATGTGCAGCAGGGAAAATGGCTACAAGAGTCTAGTGTCCCTGTAGCACAAACACACAAGTGAACACTTCCCTAGGGAGGTGTATCCAAAAATTATGCCATAGGCATACCATAATGGAGGATATAAGGGATTAAGCAGTAACCATATAGGCAAATCCCAATCAAGGAATCCAAAAATTATACTATAGATATGTATGTCACATGTATACAATAAAGCAAGCACAATATGCGTCAAAAAGGAGAATAGCAGGCCTCAGGCCTGTATGAAAGAAGACATAAATGTCAAATATATTATACAATACATTCCTGTGCCGGCACAAGTGGTTGGGGCCCATTCATCTGTAATATAGATAGCTGTTTCCTAGAGCTCTTGGATGGGAATATGCCCCATTTATTTCCAGGATGGAGGAAAAGATGCACAAAGCAGCACTCTGCTTGAAGTGGTTTCTTCACCACTATATGTGGACTATACACCACTTTTGTAGGAAAAAACAAGACACATCCCAAAGACTCTTCTGCCTGTTGAAATATATATGGTGGTATATCTTGTATCCTATACAACGCACCATGATGTCCCCATCCTGTGGTGAAACAAACAATGTGTGGGAAGTCACTGACAGAGCTAACACTCTATAGAAGATATATAGGTCACATAGATCACAGAGGACCATATATCTAATGTCCTGTAACAATCCACTCACCGCCTGTGCTATGGATAACAGGAATGAAAGAGAAGTCCTTCATAGGTACTGCCATACAGGGCCAAGGCGGCCAAGGAACCACCGCTGACATCCGCCGATATACCGCGGGTTCCAGCCCCTTCTCGGCGCTTGTGCTGCTTAAGCTTGCCTCATGGCATGTGAAGATGGCTTCCTCCTTATGGGTCAGCGTGCGTTCCACCTAGTGCGCATGACCGGAAGTGACGTATCTGACGTATGACGTCAACGCGTTTCGCCGATGGGCGTATCTCACTCAGCTTCGTCAGGACCAATGAAACAACCGCATTTCAATTTTCTATTTATAGTGGGTAAAGACCCACCCATTTATGCAAAAAACCCAACCTGCAGTTATTCCTAATGGAAGAAAGAGAGGGCTAAATACTTAGCACAGCTGCTGGTCATTGTTGAATATAGTTAAAAAGACAGACATCTGGAGACAACAGAGGGGGGAGAGGCTTTAGCAATTTGGACGGTGCATATATTGATTAAAAAAAAAAAAAAAAAAAAAACAGAATTAAATATATTCGTCAACTAAAGCACCCATCACACTCTAACCAGAAGATGGCGATATTAATCAGAGAATCAACAAGTCTATCCACTGAGTCTAATTGTCAAAAAAAAAACCCATATAAATTACCATAACATACCACAAGATGGCAATATAACCTGAAGATTCTCATTAAGGGTTATTTCTACAAAAATACCCCAATTTTTAAATATCCATCCTATGGTATGATTATTATTAAAGAAAGAAGGTACATAGGAAAAAATTAACTCAGCATTCAATCCTAATACATTTTGTTTAGAGCTATATTTAAACTCATAGCTTAAGATCATCCATATTATTTTAATTGTTTCCGTATACATATATACTTTTTAAGGATTAAGTGACATAAAGTCCACCTATTTGTGAAAACAAAAATTCCACAAATTAACCACCACATGGCAATAATGAGGTACATGGCTATAACTATTTTTCCAAAAATACTTGGAGATCACATTCCACATTTAACCCCTTAGGGTGCAATGTATCAAGTTTATATATCCAATATTTTTCCTTTTTAAGCAGTTCTCTGTCAAAATCACCTCTAATAATACTCAAAATATAGTGAGTATTATTTCCTGAATCATGAAACGGATTCCTTTCATGATTCAGGAAATAATACTCACTATAAAATTCAGAGTCTCATAAATTGCTCTACAGTGAGAGTATTATACATCTTAACCTGTCCCTGTAAAAAGATGTATGTAGGTAAGACCAAAAGACAACTTAAAGTACGAATAGGTGAACATCTTAGAGACATTAGATCAAATGAACCTGACAGTAATCTTGCCCAACATTACGTTAAATATCATGGAGGTAAATTGGATGGTACAAAAGTGAAAGGTTTCTATGCACTGCACTTTCCACAGAGGAGAGGTGATTTTGACAGAGAACTGCTTAAAAAGGAAAAATATTGGATATATAAACTTGATACATTGCACCCTAAGGGGTTAAATGTGGAATGTGATCTCCAAGTATTTTTGGAAAAATAGTTATAGCCATGTACCTCATTATTGCCATGTGGTGGTTAATTTGTGGAATTTTTGTTTTCACAAATAGGTGGACTTTATGTCACTTAATCCTTAAAAAGTATATATGTATACGGAAACAATTAAAATAATATGGATGATCTTAAGCTATGAGTTTAAATATAGCTCTAAACAAAATGTATTAGGATTGAATGCTGAGTTAATTTTTTCTATGTACCTTCTTTCTTTAATAATAATCATACCATAGGTTGGATATTTAAAAATTGGGGTATTTTTGTAGAAATAACCCTTAATGAGAATCTTCAGGTTATATTGCCATCTTGTGGTATGTTATGGTAATTTATATGGGTTTTTTTTTTTGACAATTAGACTCAGTGGATAGACTTGTTGATTCTCTGATTAATATCGCCATCTTCTGGTTAGAGTGTGATGGGTGCTTTAGTTGACGAATATATTTAATTCTGTTTTTTTTTTTTTTTTTTTTTTTTTTTTTTAATCAATATATGCACCGTCCAAATTGCTAAAGCCTCTCCCCCCTCTGTTGTCTCCAGATGTCTGTCTTTTTAACTATATTCAACAATGACCAGCAGCTGTGCTAAGTATTTAGCCCTCTCTTTCTTCCATTAGGAATAACTGCAGGTTGGGTTTTTTGCATAAATGGGTGGGTCTTTACCCACTATAAATAGAAAATTGAAATGCGGTTGTTTCATTGGTCCTGACGAAGCTGAGTGAGATACGCCCATCGGCGAAACGCGTTGACGTCATACGTCAGATACGTCACTTCCGGTCATGCGCACTAGGTGGAACGCACGCTGACCCATAAGGAGGAAGCCATCTTCACATGCCATGAGGCAAGCTTAAGCAGCACAAGCGCCGAGAAGGGGCTGGAACCCGCGGTATATCGGCGGATGTCAGCGGTGGTTCCTTGGCCGCCTTGGCCCTGTATGGCAGTACCTATGAAGGACTTCTCTTTCATTCCTGTTATCCATAGCACAGGCGGTGAGTGGATTGTTACAGGACATTAGATATATGGTCCTCTGTGATCTATATGACCTATATATCTTCTATAGAGTGTTAGCTCTGTCAGTGACTTCCCACACATTGTTTGTTTCACCACAGGATGGGGACATCATGGTGCGTTGTATAGGATACAAGATATACCACCATATATATTTCAACAGGCAGAAGAGTCTTTGGGATGTGTCTTGTTTTTTCCTACAAAAGTGGTGTATAGTCCACATATAGTGGTGAAGAAACCACTTCAAGCAGAGTGCTGCTTTGTGCATCTTTTCCTCCATCCTGGAAATAAATGGGGCATATTCCCATCCAAGAGCTCTAGGAAACAGCTATCTATATTACAGATGAATGGGCCCCAACCACTTGTGCCGGCACAGGAATGTATTGTATAATATATTTGACATTTATGTCTTCTTTCATACAGGCCTGAGGCCTGCTATTCTCCTTTTTGACGCATATTGTGCTTGCTTTATTGTATACATGTGACATACATATCTATAGTATAATTTTTGGATTCCTTGATTGGGATTTGCCTATATGGTTACTGCTTAATCCCTTATATCCTCCATTATGGTATGCCTATGGCATAATTTTTGGATACACCTCCCTAGGGAAGTGTTCACTTGTGTGTTTGTGCTACAGGGACACTAGACTCTTGTAGCCATTTTCCCTGCTGCACATACATTTAGACCGGTTCTGGTGTCATTTTAAATGGTTTTAGGTCTGTGTGTATTGTCTCAACTGAGGTGATGGTAAACCAGGGCGAAAGCCCATATGTCATATTTTTATATGTGTAATAAAGCATAATTTTTGGAAATTTCTTCCTGTGTGTCACGTT